GGGCGCTGGGTGGCTCAGTAAGTTAGGCATCTGCCTTCGGCTCGGATCATGATCTCCGGGTCCTGGAATCAAGCCCCACATCAGGTTCCCTGCTCAGCAGGGAGTCTCCTTCTCCCTCTCCCTCTGCCTCCTCCCCGCTGCTTGTGCTCTCTCTTTCACTTACACTCTCTCTTGCTCTGCTCTCCCTCAAATAAATAAAATCTTTAAAAAATAATAATTGTGTAAAAAGTTGGTGCCTGGCATAAAGAAGGCACATAATAAATGGACATTTATATTGTTAGCTATTAGAGTCATGGAATAAAAGGATTATTCCAAGGAAAAGGTTGACATCAGTGTCAGACACATTTTAAAGATTGAGAAGGAGGGGCGCCTGGGTGGCTCAGTCGTTAAGTGTCTGCCTTCGGCTCAGGTCATGGTCCCAGGGTCCTGGGGTCGAGCCCCACATCGGGCTCCCTGCTTGGCGGGAAGCCTGCTTCTCCCTCTCCCACTCCCCCTGCTTGTGTTCCCTCTCTCGCTGTCTCTCTCTCTGTCAAATAAATAAATAAAATCTTAAAAAAAAAAAAAGATTGAGAAGGACACAGCCTGAATTAATGCTGTTGGACATGAGAGATTTTTACTTTTAGAATGGTAAATTCTGAATGGCAATTTTCCTTGTTTCTATGTAATTCTTTACAGGTTCCCAAATACTTTCCTTTAGGAATAAAATAATACTTTTCTTGGTCGGCAAATTATTTTTTTTTTGTTGTTTTATGTTTGTTAACTGGAAACTGGGAACATTGGCCACTCTACGTTCATTTCCTGTGCCCTCAATTAACATGACCTCTGTTCTTGAATCTGGTGGTACTAAGGTCCAGGAATTCTGGTTATTCTTTAACGTAGCCCGAATGCTTTTGGTTTTAGGTGTGGAAATCATTAACGTGATGCTTACTGAACAGATTTCTTTTTTGCTTTTGTTGACATTAGGCGGCTGCGATTCATTCCACTCTCAACTGCCTTAATAGATTAACAAGAATTGAATTTCAGTTGTGTTAAGTTCTGGGTTTTCTATTTTTTTTTTTTTTAATTTATTTATTAGAGAGAGACATAGCGAGAGAGGGAACACAAGCAGGGGGAGTGGAAGAGGGAGAAGCAGGCTTCCTGTGGAGCAAAGAGCCCGATGCGGGGCTCGATCCCAGGACCCTGGGATCATGACCCGAGCTGAAGGCAGACGCTTAACGACTGAGCCACCCAGGCGCCCTAAGTTCTGGGTTTTCTAAAGCAACACCAAAGGGAAAGTCTTCTGTTAAGGGTCAAGAGTAAAAAAGAACTAACACAATGTTTGCTTCACTTGCTATTCAAGTGTGAAGTATGTAGGAATTCATAAGAAATAATTACAATATCGCTTCTCGGCCTTTTGGCTAAGATCAAGTGTAGTACAATATTAGAAAACTTAGAATGTTTCAGTTGAAGCAATTTCAATGGTGTTTTGTTTTGTTAGCCATTAAAATTAAGTATCTCGCCCATGGATCCAGGGGCTTAACAAGATAAGGAAGAAGCTAATGTAAATAGTAGTCATCCCCAATCCTCCCCTCGGGCTCTGGGGCCTGTCCACCTCCCCCTACCCCCACCTTCAGTTCCTTGAACAGATTGTGTTTCTTCCTTTTATTTGTCTATGTCACAAGCTGTTTTCTTATGCCCAAATACTGACATCCTCTGGAATTCAGGTCAGATGTCACTTCCTCAAGGAAGCCGGTGATCCTCCTCCCCGACTGGGTCAGATCCTAGCTGTGGGCGCCATGAGGGCAAGGAACAAGTCTCGCTGATTCAGGGCTCTAAGCCAAGCACAGAGCAGAGCACTCAGTAACTATTTCTTGAATGAAGTTCAACTTTTATTAAGTACCAAGCACTTCACTTCATTAATTCCTCACCATAACCCTTTAGGTGGATATTATCCTCATTGACAGATGAGGAAGGTGACACTAGAGAAATAACTTGCCCAAAGTCACATAGTACACAAATGACACAGCCAGGACTTGACTTAGGTCACTTTGATGCCAAAGCCAGTGTCATTTTGTCTTTTATTATACAATTATCCTACTGAGAAGCCTGCGTGGTACTATGTGAGCTACCACAGGAAAGCAAGCAGAGGGTGTGTCTGATCAAAATGCAGCGGTGTGCTTCTAAGGAGCATTTGTGGTGTGCCTTCTCAGCATCCATTCCTGCTTTCGTCAGTCACAGGCCCTGTTTTCTTTTCTTTCCTTTCCTTTTTTTTTTTTTTTTTAAGATTTATTTATTTGAGAGAGAGAATGAGAGAGAGAGAGAGCGCGCACAAGAGGTGGGGAGCGGGAGAGGGAGAAGCAGACTCCCCGCTGAGCAGGGAGCCCGATTCAGAGACTTGATCCCGGGACGCCAGGATCATGACCTGAGCCGAAGGCAGGCGCTTAACCAACTGAGCCACCCAGGCGCCCACAGGCCCTGTTTTCATTTGGAGGATATACAACTCTCCTTGGCTCAGTTCGTGTGCTCTGGGTGTGCTCAGCCCCAGGAATAAGGCACTGTGACCTGTGCTTGAGCCAGGCAGCATAATCCATCTGATCTACACATGATAATTGGTTCAGGCATGAGCTTGTGACTCAGTATTGCCAATATGAGCCAACTGAGACTCAATCCAGAACTTTGGAGTTTTTGCAAAAATAGACTTGATCTCTCCAACTGGTCTTGACCTCTGAAAGCATGAAGATTGGCACTACTTCCACAGACTCCCTACCTGCTAGGGCAGACAGAAGGGCAGATGTGACTTCTAAGAATATCAGCTGAGCCCTGCTCACGCTGTGCCTGAGGCGTTCTGTCCCTGTCTTTCCACTAACTTGAGTCATTAAAGTCCTTTTTCTACTGAAGCCTTTTTTTTTGGTTGAGAGTTGTGCCACTTGGAATCAAAGAAATCCTAACCAGCACGCTGGACATGTTTTGCCTCTTTGTGTTTCCATTTTGCCAGGGCTTAGGTCATGTCCATGGGCTGTTGGAATGACCGTAACTGTGTGTCTTCTGGTCTGTGGAGGAAAGCAGTGAGGAGGTAACACGGCAGCGATGCTGTTGAAACAGGCTTTGTAGTTTTGGGAATCGGGGCTTCTAAGACCTGCTCAGTAACTTGTGGAATGTAAGAAACTCCATTTATTTATTTCTCCATGTCTTAGTTTTGTGCAGAATGTGAGGATAACATTTGCCACGCCACTTAGACAAAAAGGAATTGATAAGAATGTGTTTAGTACTTTGGCATTATTTATCTTCCAGCGTGCTGGTAACATTTCAGCATGTCAACCCGTGTTTTTTCGTATTTCTCAGTCACTAGACTAACCTAACCAATAGTGAGGTGGGTGGTGAAGGAGGGTCCTACTTTGGGGAGACTGTAGAGGGGGGAGATTTCCTGTTGTAGAGCTCAGGAGGCCTTAGCCGAGCATTCCCACCTCACCCTAACAATAATTATCTTCATGTTCAAGAGAGTTAGAATAGTAAGCGTCCTTTCTTTCTACTCAGTGGATTTTACAAAGTGGGGGGCTTTGGACTTGAACTTTTTTTTTTTCATTTGTCAGAGAGAGAGAGAGTACGCGCGAGAGAGCAAGCACAAGCAGAAGGTGTGGCAGGCAGGGGGAGAAGCAGGCTCCCCACTGAGCAAGAAGCCTGATGTGGGACTCAAGCCCAGGACCCTGGGATCATGACCTGAGCCTAAGGCAGACGCTTAACCGACTGAGCCACCCAGGCATCCCTGGACTTGAACTTTTCAAAACTCAATTCTGATCCTTCCAAAATTGCTTTCTCTAAAATCCATTAGATGTGTTTATAGTTACCTGGAAGTAGAAGGAAAAATCTGTATATTCCAATAGCTTAATTTTCCCTTCCCAGAGACATTAAAAAAATGAAGCCAAGCCAGCAAAGATATAAACCCTTTATTTCCATTCCTAAAATCTATGTGAATTTATTGATTGATTTCATATTTAAAAGTCTTTGTAAAGTCATTATACTTTACAGAGAATATACTAAATTTATTAACACACACGAACTACTGCCAAAAATGCTATTCTTTTTTTTTTTAAGATTTTATTTATTTGAGAGAGAGAGAGAATGAGCGGGGTGGAAGGACAGAGATGGAGAAGCAGATTCCCCACTGAGCAGGGAACCCAACGTGGGGCTCGATCCCAGGACCCAGGGATCACCACCTGAGCTGAAGGCAGACGCTTAACCAACTGAGCCATCCAGGCGCCCCTGAAAATGCTATTCTTAATCCCTCTGACTGACCAACCTAACACTTGTTTTCAAAGCACTTATGATTTTCAGAGGTTTCCATGGTGGCAAGGAACAAAGAAATCATCTTGGAACAGGAGTGAAAATTTGGTCAGAATAATCACCCAAATACGTGTCTACTTCTTTACAGACTCCCAGACTGCCTAGGTTTCAGGGGCTTTTAGAAAGCGTACCTAATTTTATCCAAGGTTTTCCTAATTACAGTGGGCCTTTTCCTTACCTACAGTTCAACACATGCAGCAAAGTATCTGCTACGTAATAAGGAAAATGTACCCAAGAAACTTAAGTGCTTCAGCTATTTTTCTGGCTATACTAATGTGTCAAGTACAATCTTCATCTTAAGAACTGAAGACTGGAAACTAATGATGTAATGTATGGTGATTAACATAACAATAAAAAATTAAAGAAAAAAAAGAATTGAAGACAGCAATGCAGGAAGGCAAAACGTCAGTGGAATATATGGGAGTAAAAACAACAGCACTGGGCGGAGCTAGGTGTGGCTTCCTGGTCCATTAATTTTGAAAACCAGCCCCGTTACTAGGAACAACAGATAGATTCAGATTTCTCTTTCAGAAAGACCTGGGCTATTTAGATTTGGATTTTCAACTAGTTAGTATTTCTTGGCTCAGTTTGTGAAGTATTAAGATCTTGTCACTTTTCCCTTCTCAAGTCCTCTTTTGAGTGATTTCACTGCCTCTTAGCACCAAGCTCCCAAAGAGGGGTCACTTCATAGTGTAACCACAGATGTGGGGGCACACCAGCTTCCAGGACAGCGGCGCCTGGAAGTGCTGCAGCTTGAGCTTGGAGAAGGGTGCCGCCTCCAGTGCCTTCCAGCTCTCTCTGGTCAGGTGGCACCCGTCAAACAGCAGGTACCAGAAAGGATGCAGGATTTGTTGCCAGAAGTAAATCCAAGTTGAGCTCTCCGCTGCTACATGCTCCAGGAAGAAGAAAGCCCCTCCCTGAGAAAGAAAAAAAAAGAAAAAAAAAAAACCAGGAGTTTAGTTTTGGAAGAACAGGTTTAGAAGATGATTGAAGCTTCGGTTTCAGTGGCCCTAAAGGCTAACTTCATGAGAAGGCATGGATAAATCAGCACTTACTAAGACGCCGTTTTGGCCAATAGTCTCACCTTCTGTCAAATTTTATCCACAGCTGCCAATCTAATGCACTTAGCGCATATTTTCTGATCATAAAAGTAATGTCATGATAGTTAAAACTTGCAGCAGTTCCTGAATGCAAGGTACTATCTTTAATGCCTATCATGTATCAACTTGCTTAATCCTTATGATAAACTTATTTGGTAAGTATTATTCCTATTTTTACAGATGAGGAGAATGAGTCACACAGAAAATGAGCAACTTGCCCAAGGTCACACAGCCTATTAAATGTCAGATCGGGTTTGGTTTGACCCTGGACAGTCTAGCTGCAGAGGCTGGTAATACTGCCTCGCCCATATGTTGATCTTAGGAAATGTAGAAAAGTTTAAACAGAAAAACAAGCACTATTCTATCATCTCAAGATAACTACTGTTTTTTGTGTGTACATCATATGAATATGTATCTTTTCCCTAAAACTAGGACTAGAATGTACCTTCTGTTTTATAATCTGCTTTATTTTATTTATGTATTTGAATATTATTCTAAAACATGATTTAAAAGCTCTTTATATAATATTTCACACCACTGAAGGTGTCATCTCTTAATCATTCTCATTAAAGTTATTTCCAATTTTTGATTATTATAAATACTATTACAGTGAATTTCCTTATCCATACATCTTTGTGCCCATCTCTAATTATTTCCAAATAAATAACTTGCTAAAAAGTGTAACTGCTGAGGGGCGCCTGGGTGGCTCAGTCGTTAAGCGGGCTCCCTGCTCTGCGGGAAGCCTGCTTCTTCCTCTCCCGCTCCCCCTGCTTGTGTTCCCTCTCTCGCTGTGTCTCTCTCTGTCAAATAAATAAATAAAATCTAAAAAAAAAAAAAAAAGTGGAACTGCTGAGTCAAGTCTGTGCCTTCTTAAAGATTTTATTTCTTATTTATTTTTAAAAGATTTTTATTTGAGAGAGCACAAGAGGGGGGAGGGTTAGAGGGAGAAGCGGACTCCCCGCTGAGCAGGGAGCCCAACAAGACTGGCAGGCCTGGATCCCAGGACCCTGGGATCGTGACCTGAGCCGAAGGCAGATGCTTAACTGACTGAGCCACCCAGTCGCCCAAGTCTGTGCCGCCTTAAAGCTGTTGGTGCAGGTTGTCAAATTGTCCTTTGGAAGAGTCACTGCAAAGTTCACGTTCATGCCAGCAATGGTGTGAGTGCCCCTTTCCAACAGACTCTCGTCAATCCTTTTTCCTCTGTATCCTGCCAGTTTGATGGGTGAAATGGTATTTCATTTTCAATAATATGCATATCTTTAATTTCTTAATATATACAACTTTTTTTTGCTAAGCCTTATTAGTGATTTGGACTTCTCTTCTGCTTTGTCTGTTGATGTCCTTTATCAGTTTTCTAATCGGGTGTTGGGTTTTTCTTACTGCTTAGTGAGAGCATTTAGTATACTACAAATGTTTCCCCCCAGTTTACCTTTTTTTTTTTTTTTTTAAGATTTTATTTTTAAGGAATCTCTACACGCAACATGGGGCTTGAACTCACAACCTCAAGATCAAAGGTCACACGCTCAGGATGCCTGGGTGGCTCAGTCTGTTAAGTGTCTGCCTTCGGCTCAAGTCATGATCCCGGGGTTCTGGGATCGAGATCGAGCCCCACGTTGGGCTCCCTGCTCATCGGGGAGTCTGCTTCTCCCTCTGCCCCTCCTCTGCTAGTGCTTGCTGTCTCTCTCTCAAATAAGTAAATAAAATCTTTAAAAAAAAAAAAAAAACAGTCGCTCTACTGACTGAGCCAGGCAGGCACCCAAGTTGTTTGCCTTTTTTTTTTTTTTAAAGATTTTATTTGTTTATTTGACAGAGAGAGACACAGAGAGAGAGGGAACACAAGCAGGGGGAGTCGGAGAGGGAGAAGCAGGCTTCCTGCGGAGCAGGGAGAGCCCGATGCGGGGCTCGATCCCAGGACCCTGGGATCATGACCTGAGCTGAAGGCAGACGCTTATCGACTGAGCCACCCATGTGCCCCGTTGTTTGTTTGCCTTTTAATTACAATTTTTTTTTAAAGATTTTATTTATTTATTTGAGAGAGAGAATGAGAGAGAGCATGAGAGGAAAGAGGGTCAGAGGGAGAAGCAGACTCCCTGCTGAGCAGGGAGCCCGATGCGGGACTCGATCCCAGGACTCCAGGATCATGACCTGAGCTGAAGGCAGTCGCTTAACCAACTGAGCCACCCAGGCGCCCTAATTACAATTTTTTTAACTTCTTCTTTTTAAATACTTTTTTTTTGTTTTTTTTTTTTACTTCATCTGAACATTGTTCTTGGGCTCTGCTTTGCAAACCTGTGAGAGAGTCTGAATCCACACCCAGCACTGCCTGAGACTAAACAATCATGTCTTACACTTTTGTACCATTGTCACAAGGATGTAAATGCTATGATGAATTAAAATACTGAAGCATCTAAAAGCGTTACTGAAGTCATGGTACCACTGGGTCGTTAGGGATTTTATTCAGTGGATGTGATGTGTTAATCACTGTCCTGTAGGAATTAGCAACTGCTGCTTTTATCTAGGGCAGTCCTATAAATGTGGGTAAAGTGTACACACAGTAGAGGTCATACATTATCAGAAGGACTTTGGAAGTCTTCTCCCCTGCTACCTCTGTGGGGAGTAGAGGAAAGGGACCTCCCAGTCCCCTCCAAAGCCCGGGGTGATGGTCACACTCTTCCTAGCCTCCTCTGGCTACTCTAGTCTTGCCTATTCCAGAGAGCTGGGAGGTGGCAGTTTCCCCAGTTCTATGGTTAGGTATGAGACCTGTGTTTGGGAATGGAAAATCGGGAATTTCCTGAGTGGGTTAAAAAATTTTTTTTTTCCATAGATGAGAACAAGAGGAGGCCCAGGTCTGGGGAGGCTGATGTCGCCCTTGGGGTAACACAGGTTAAGCTAGAGAAGCCTGTCACCCATTTAGGTGACTGTTGAATACAGAGATGGAGATGTAGGTTTAGGGTTAGAGAAAGATCTGGGCTAGATATTTAGATTTGGAAAATATCCGTGTATGCATGGTAGTTGAAAACTTTGGTGTGTGTGTAGGGGGTCCATGAGATTGTCTTGGGGCTGTATTTAAGTGAAATGAGAACCAAAAAAGAAACTCCAGTATTTAGAGATGGGCAGAGGAAGAACAGCCAGCAAAAGTGGTAGAAATGTTGAAGTCAGAGAGATAAAAAGGCCCTAATGACAAGCTCTGTGATGCAGCAGTAAGAATATTTGCATTAGGGATGCCTGGGTGGCTCAGATGGTTAAGCATCTGCCTTTAGCTCAGGTCATGATCCCAGGGTCCTGGGATCGAGTCCCCGCTGAGCAGGGAGCCTGCTTCTCCCTCTGCCTCTGCCTCTCTCTCTCTCTGTCTCTAATGAATAAATAAATAAAATCTTTTTTTTAAGATTTTATTTATTTATTTGACAGAGAGAGAGACACAGCGAGAGAGGGAACACAAGCAGGGGGAGTGGGAGAGGGAGAAGCAGGCTTCCCACGGAGCAGGGAGACCGATGCGGGGCTCGATCCCAGGACCCTGGGACCATGACCTGAGCCGAAGGCAGACGCTTAACAACTGAGCCACCCAGGTGCTCCCAAATAAATAAAATCTTTAAAAAAAAAAAAAAAGAATATTTGCATTAAAGAAAGTCAGACCTACTATCTATGTAACTTTGGGTTTCTTTTTTCTTTTTTTAAGATTTTTTATTTATTTGAGGGAGAGTGAGAGAGAGCACGAGAGGAAGGAGGGTCCGAGGGAGAAGCAGACTCCCTGCTGAGCAGGGAGCCCGATGCGGGGCTCGATCCCGGGACTCTAGGATCATGACCTGAGCCAAAGGCAGTCGCTTAACCAACTGAGCCACCCAGGTGCCCTGGGTAAGTTTCTTAACCTCTGTTTCCTCAACACACCATGAAGACAATATCTGCTATAAAGGACTATTGTGAGGGTTAAATGACACTGTAATAAAGCTCCTGGTTATATTTAGCAGAGAGTGGGTGCTTCACAGGAGCTAAGGAAGACTACCAAGAATGCGATCTCATTAAGAGTGCTAGAAAATGGAGGTAATCATTACTTGCTTTGTAGGGGTAACGCTGTAAGCAAAACACTAGCCTTGCCCATTTACTGCCCAGTCTTAGGACACAAGAACCCAGCATTTGGATATAAGAATCAGAACATTTCAGGACAGCTGGGTGGCTCAGTTGGTTAAGCATCTGACTCTTGATTTCGGCTCAGGTCATGATCTCAGGTTCGTGGGATCCAGCCCCATGTCCAGCTCATGCTCAGCATGGAGTCCGCTTGAGATTCTCTCTCTCCCTCTGCCCCTCCCCTGTGTGCTCACTCCCAAAAGTAGGTGGATAAATATTAAAAAAAAAAAAAAAAGTTTCTTGGGATGCCTGGGTGGCTCAGTCATTGAGCATCTGCCTTCGGCTCAGGTCATGATCCCAGGGTCATGGGATCGAGTCCCACATCAGGATCCTTGCTCAGTGAGGAGCCTGCTTCTCCCTCTCCCTCTGCTGTTCCCTCTGCTTGTGCTCTCTGTCTCTCTGACAAATAAATAAAAATGTTTAAAAAAGTTTCTTGTCTATCATTCCCATTAACATATACACATATGGGTATGTACATATGTGTGTGTGTGTATAAGCCCTTGCACAATGGGCTCATACTCTACATAATAGTCTATGCTCTGATTGCTTTTTTTCATTTAACGTTATCTCTTGGGGATTTTTTCATATTAACATAGATAACTCTTGTTCTTTTTAACAGATGCACAGAATTCTTTTATACTATGTGACAATTTACTTGAACAGCCTATTTTTTTTAAGATTTTATTTATTTGTCAGAGAGAGCACAAGCACAAGCAGGGGGAGCTGCAGACAGAGGGAGAAGTAGGCTCCTTGCTGAGCAAGGAGCCCGATGTAGGACTCGATCCCAGCACCCTGGGATCATGACCTGAGCCAAAGGCAGAGAGGCTTAACCGACTGAGCCACCCAGGCATCCTGAACAGCCTCCTATTGATGGACATTTAGGATAATTCCAATTTGTGCTATTACAAATACTCCAATGAATGTCTTTGCATATAGACAAGTTTTTGCATATTTGTGCAGTATAGCTATAGGATAAATTACTACTGGATAAAAGACTATGTGTACTTTAAGTTTTGAATATTATCAAAATTACCCTCCAAAGAGGGCACTTCCTCCAATGTTATGGAGGTATCCTGCCTCCCAAACAAATCCCAATACCATATTGACCTTAAAAGCCTCTGACAGTATCATAGGTAAAAATGGTATCTTGCTTTAGTTTCTTTGTGTGTAAGGTTGAGCATTTTCATCATGTAATTGCCTTTTTTTTAAAGAGGGGGAGGGAGGAAGTGGGGGAGGGGCAGAGAGAGAGGGAGGGAGAGAATTCCAAGCAGGCTCCACACCCAGCTGGAGCCCGAGGCAGGGCTTGATCCCACTACCCTGAGACTAGGACCCCAACAGAAATCAAGAGTCCCACCCTTAACCCACTGAGTCACCCAGGTGCCCCCGTAATTGGTTATCTTTATTTATATTTCTGTTCTTGCTCTTTGCCTATTTTTCTCTTGTGTTTTTCTTATTTTTAAAAAATACTATTGATTTCTTGATTTGTAATGTCTTTTAAAATGAAGGAAATTAATCTTTTTGTCTATCATCCCTGGCAAATACTACTTCTATGTTTTGGTACTTTGTTTATAGTACTTTTTTTATTCTCTGTATAAGTTTTTAAATTTTATGTATTCCGAATCAGTCTTTCCCTTTATAGCTTCTTCTTTTTTTTTTTTTTAGATTTTATTTATTTGACAGAGACCCAGCGAGAGAGGGAACACAAGCAGGGGGGATGGGAGAGGGAGAAGCAGGCTTCCCACCGAACAGGGAGCCTGATGTGGGGCTTGATCTCAGGACCTTGGGATCATGACCTGAGCCGAAGGCAGACGCTTAACAACTGAGCCACCCAGGCGCCCCATTATAGCTTCTTTCTGACTCTTAAGCTTTTTAAAAATTCAACAGTGCCTTCTCTAGTAGTTTTACTTTTTATGTTTGAATGTCTGAAATTGACCGAACTGCCCTTGGTGACAGTGGTTACTACTAACTCGCCCTCCTCACAACCCCTCACTCACCGGCCTCAGCACTCTGTGCACCTCCTGGAGGATCTGCTCCTGGCTCCCCACGGAGCACAGCACCAGGGTGCAGACCACCACGTCCATGGAGCCATCGGCCACCTGCGGCAAGTTCTCCCCTGAAGCCAGCAAGAAGCGCTCGAACTGCAGGTGTCGGTTTTCCGCCATGCTCTTGATCAAGAACTTCTCAAAGTTGGGGTTGGGGTCACTACAAGTCACGCTGCATCCGGGCGGGTAGAACTTGAAGTTGGCCCCGGTGCCGCAGCCTATCTCCAGCAGGGAGAGTTTCCCGGAGGGGCCCACGAAGTCCTGCAGGTTGCTGAAGAGCTCCCGCTTCTTGCTTGCCATCTGCTCGTTGTACCTCACGGTGAACCTCAGCATGAAGTAGGGGAACCATTTTTTGCATATCTGGTTCCACAAGCCTAGAGTGTTAAGCAGGAACACGGGAAATGCCAAGATGCAGACGAATAGCCTGAGGATAAAAATGGTAAGCGCCATCATTCAGGAGAAACACCGACCAGTTAGCCCTGGACTCCTTTGTTACAGAAGGTAGAGATCGAGCCACACTCCAGAGCCAATCAGCTGCAGAGGAGAGAACTGGCTGGGAGATAGACGCAGCTGAAGTCAAATCAGGGGCCATTTTGCCTAATTTATAGGCGTTTGGCAAAAGATTCGGGTTAGTTTTCATGAAGCAAAGGGAGAAGGTTCCCAGCTTCCCTTAGAAGGAAAGTTGATTACAGTCCCTTATTCCACAGCAGTTCTAGCTTCTCCCTCTCTGGGTTTGTTTGGGAAATACTGTGAGTTTCCGGCTGCAGTTTGTTTTTTGTTTTTTTTTAAAGATTTTATTTGACAGACACAACGAGAGCGCGAACACAAGCAGGGCGAGTGGGGGAGGGAGAAGCAGGCTTCCCGTCGAGCCCCCGGCTGCAGTTTTATATGCACGGCGCACATCCGCCCTCTCCAGGTCTTCCATAGATATCTGCAAAGAAACCAGACTGTGGTCGGAGCCTGCTAAAACCGTGCCCCAAGCCTGCTGCCAAGTGTCCCCCTCCTGCTTATTACCCTTTGGTCCCTCTCCTTCCTCGTCGCCATTTTTTAAAAGAGGAAGTGAATAGACACGCTTGCCTGGTCACAGTAAGAATTTACCCCTTTTACATTCTTGGCTGAGGCTCTCTGACGTTCCTAACTCAACAGGGTTGTTTTTGAGTCACCGTTTTGGCCCGCCTGTTTTTTAAAGGGCAAGTTTCAGCTTCAAACTGTGTGGGACTGCTACGTTACTCAGCTAATTCAGATAAAAATCGTCCGCAGAATATTCATCTTTGGGAACATAAAAACCTGAAGTATACAGAAAATAGTTTCAAGCATTCATCTGTTTTTAACAAAAAAGCCTTGGCTTTACCGTGGGTCAGGGAACACAGAAATTTTTAAAAATAATAGTAACATTGACTTTTTTTTTTTCTTTTTAAGGGATTTTATTTATTTAGAGAGCACAAGCAGGGGAAGGGGCAGAGGGAGAGAAAATCTCAAGCAGACTCCCTGGAGTGGGGAGTCCTGGGCTGGGCTGGATCCTACAACCCTGAGATCATGACCTGAGCTGAAATCAAATCAGACCCTTAGCCACTAAGCCCCCCAGGTGGCCCTGGTAACATTTACTTTTTTAAACTGGGTGATGGATACGGGAGTGTTCTGTTGTTTCATTATTGTTATATCCTATACATATGTTATAAATATTTTATCTCTTCCATTTTTAACAGCTTTTTTGAGGGAGGATTGACCTACAATAAACTACATATTTAAAGTGTACAATCTGGGGGCGCCTGGGTGGCTCAGATGGTGGGGCGTCTGTCTTCGGCTGGGGTCCTGATCCCAGGGTCTTGGGATCGAGCCCTGCTTCGGGGTCCCTGCTTCACGGGGAGCCTGCTTCTCCCTCTCCCTCTATTGTTCCCCCTGCTTGTGCTCTCTTGCTGTCTCTGTCAAATAAATAAATAAAATCTTAAAAAAAAATAAAGTGTACAGTCTGATAAATTTTGACATATGTACATACCTGTGATGCCATCATTTCAATCAAGGTAATGAACATATCCATCACTCCCAAAAGTTTCCCTTTGCCCCTTTGTAATCCTTTCCTCCTGCCCTCCCCAGCCCAAGGCAAGCACTGATCTGTTTTCTGTCACTAGAGATTGATACACATTTCCTAGAATTTTAAGTAAATGGAATCAGGCATTATGTGCTATTTTTGTCTGACTTCTTTCACTCAGCATAATTATTTTGAAGGTCAGCAACATTGTTGCATGAATCCATTGATTTTATTGTTAAGTAGCATTCCATTGTATGGATGGATAACAGTTTTTTTTTTTCCATCTTTAGATATTTTTAATTGGAATATCCACTGGGCTTTAGATAACAGATACAAAAAAGACAGTTTGGATCAGAAAGTGCTGTGCTTTCTCTTTTGTTAAGAAACCAGAGAGCCACTGAATTTTCCTTAGAAACTACCTGTTCTTTGCGGTTGGAACTTACTTGCCCATGAACAAGATGCAAGAACTCCTTCCTGCAACTTTTGCCATTTTTACTGTAGAAACTGAATCCGTGCCATAAAGACACAAGTACCAAAGCATAAATCTGATCTTCTATCATAAAACAGCAAATATGGCAAGAGACAAGGCAAGATAAAATTAAGGGAAGTGAATAATTTACCAAATAAGAATCTGTTATTCCAGAGAATTCTGTTGGATTTGAAGAAGAGATTGAATTGTTACCTCACACCTTAAAACAGAAAGTAGCAGCAGACCCACTATTACATACTGTACTAACGGGATAAGATAAAACTCTTAACTTTGCATAATCTGTGTAAAAAAGATATGCTTGACATTTGTGGAATGTCATTTCTCTTTATAGAATTATAGGCAAGATTTCTCCAATAAAACTTAACTTAAGCCAGTTATAAAACTATAACATCACATCAAAATTTTAAAAAGTTAAAAAATGTGTTTGAACATGTACATATCACACAGGAGTGCTCAAATGTTCCTGTAGATTGTGTTGCTGGTCAGAGTCCAGTCTACTTTCCACCTTTAAAACTGGAACAGGCTGAGTCATCTGATCTTGCTGTAGTTTAAGTTCCGATGAAGGGAAGGACGATGAAGCAGTTGTCAAAAGCTGCATCTCTCTGCATGTTTCCTCAGATTCAGTTTTTACCCTCACACACTGGGAGTCAACTTCTAAATCTTGCTTTCCAGTTAAATCACAGTCCATGGTAGAACTGCTTTCTGTGTTTTGAGTGGCTTCCACAACAGGGTGGTACTGTTTAAGCCTTATATGCCAAGCTAAGCTGCACACTGCTGACGCTGTTTTGAACTGATGAATGACATTTCTAGGGATGAAGTAAATATCATTGTCACACAGCTGAATTCTAGCGTAACGAATGCCTTCCCGCCTCATTTGGTTTAGTTTAGCTTCATCCACCCACTGTACACACTGGGAAACACCGGAGGTTCATGAAGGTCTAACTGAAGTCTCTGTACAACATCAGTAAAATCCTCAGCATGAAAACAAATCACATCTTTGGTTATGCGAGGTTGGTCACTCCATTCACCAAACTGCACAGCTTTCAAAACCCCAACAGCAGCCGTACTCTGCCAGTCAAACCCCTGACCTACATGGTCGGCATGAGCTCTTGTTCTATCTTCAAAGAGGACTTCACGGGGTTCACTGGTCCGAGGTAGGTACTGGAGATTTTTAATTTCATTCATTGATCGTCGTCTTTTGAAGGGTGACTTTGGTATATCTGCTGTAGGGATCATCTGCTCTCCTGGCCTTACCCACATGATCGGCCCATCATCACTCTGGGACCTACACTGGAGTCGGAGGCTGGAAAGCGTACCCCAGGGCAAAGTCATTTTCAGAAATGGTGATTCTTCTAACATATCAAGGAACTCTGGGAAATAATCACCAACTTCTTCATCTACTGCTCCAACAAGACTTATCTGCCGCATGGGACCTGCTCGGTAGGTGCTACAGCAGTATGTCCTGTTGACCTGAGTGTGAAAATTTGAAATGGTGGTTTTGATATCTTTCTTGCCCAGAATCTCCATTTTCACAGGGTGTTGGGGAAATTAAAAGCAAAGTAGTCCAAGAAGTCTGGGAGATAAGCAGCCGCTCCATGCACTATTGCTAAAGCATAGTAAGCAGCATTTTTCTCATTTTCACTAAATGTCAAAGCAAGAAACTCCTCAGAAAATCTCTCCATCTCCATTGGAGACAAAAATGAGAGTTCATCCATGTAAGCATGAAGGACAAGTGCACCACCATTGGACTGGTGCTCCTCGTGAATAAAGTTGCTAAATTTAGTACCTGTTTTTAAGAAATTTCTACGAATAGAATGTTCCTGGTGAGTCATAAAAGGTGTTTGTACTCCCTGGGGTACCCGATATTCTTGCATGCCCAAATTTAATCGGCACAGCTGTTCATCTTTCAGATACCTGAAGGACTCCTTATTAACTCCTGAAGTGCTATTTATTTGTCCTTGGGTGAGGATTTCCTTACTGATGCGGGTCAGGCCAGCACAGACGGTCTGTACTTCCTTATTGTACATTTTAAGGCGTCTTCCTCGCATATCTTCTCGGTGTTTCTTTTTCTTTTTCTTCTTTGTTTTCTTCAAGACAAAATCATCAGCTCTCTGGGTTTTACCATTTTCATCTGGTGTTTCTCTCTTGGGGGCCTTGATCAGAGGCACCCCTCCAGTCCTCTGGCCGTTTTCCTGCTTGTCCTTGTGCTTGAAATCGCCCGGAACGCAGGAGCTGGGGTCACCGTCGGAGCCGCGGTGGTGATGGTGCTTGTGCCCCTCCTTGCGGCCCTTATGCTTGGGCCCGGCCGCGCTCACCGTCAGGGCAGAGAAGTGGAGAGGGCCGAGGTGCCCGGGGCCGGGAGCGGGGCAGCGACAGCGGGCCCGGCCGGTGCCAGCGAAGGTGGCGGCGGAGGCGGCAGGAGCAGAGGCTCAACAGGGCCTGGGACGGTTGGGGCTGCATTCGTTGGCGGCAGCGGCCCGGGATGTTGGCGGCTCCGACGCCGCCGGTGACGGGGAGCGAGAGGGGGGTCCCGGCTCGGCCGCCCCCGCTTCTCCTGAGACCCTCCCCACCCACTGCTCGCTCGGCGCTGCCGTTCCCCCCCCGCCCCCCGCGGCGAGACCCCAGCATGGGGTTTCTCCTTCCCTTCTCTGTCCGGCTCCTCCTGCGCCGCCACCGCCCGTACCACGCGCACCGCTCCGACCTGCGCAGCCATTTCACCCACAAACACACATTTTCTGGAGGGATAACAGTTTATCCATTCACCTGTTGATGGACATTTGGGTTGTTTCTTTGTTTTTGGCTGTTACAGATTGAGCTAATGTGAACATCAGTGTACAGGTCTTTGTGTGGACATGGGCTTTCATTTCTCTTGGATAAATTCTTATGAATAGAATGTATGGGTTACATGGTAGGCAAATATTTAACTTTTTT